CTTGTCTCTTCTGTTTATGCTGTATCCCCAGCTCCCAGAAATACCAGGACATGGCAGATACTCAAGAAGTATTTGTAGAATGAATGAAAAATGTATATGTCAGGCTCTGTTCTACGCACTTAGTAAACTCAATCTTCATGATAATCATAGAAAGTAGATACTACTGTATTTCTCGTTTTATAGATGAGGACAGTGAGGCAAAGAGTGGCTAAGAAACTTGCTAACAGGTAGCAGAAGCAGGATTCAAATTCAGACGGTAGGCTCTAGAGTTCTCCCTTTTATCCCTCTGCTATACTGCCTCTTATATAAGTCAATATTACACTTACCAAAGGAAATGTGCTTCTCTCTGTTTTAATAAGTTCTGTACAGTTAAAAAGTCCAAGAAGAGCGTTGCTAACAATTCCCATAAGAACAGGAAAACAATTCATTCTCTTGGTATTACATGCAACTGAAAATCTGTAATCCTTAAAAAAAACAACAACCCACACAAATATAAGTTCTAAATTCTTAAAATAAATATATTTTTGTATACTTGTAGTTTACATTATTACCAGGGTGGAATTAGGGTGAGAAGGAGACTATTAATTTCTCTTTGACACTTCTGCCTTTTTGAATTGATATAAGAATGCATTACTTTTGTAATTCAAGTGACTTGTTCTGTTAATAAAATAGATTAACATTCACTAACATGGAAGGATGTCAAAGATTTAGATTTTATGTGACAAAGAAAGTTGCAGGACTCCTCTAATTCGATCCCAATTTCAAAATATATTTTCAAATGAGATCATTCTACAGATAGTGAATTTGTGTTTTAATAAAGGAAAAGAGTGTAAAAGATATCTACCAAACTATTAACAGAACTACATGGAAATTATGGAGAAAATTTTACCTTCTATAGTATAGACTCTAGTAATGTTTGAATTTCTCTACTAAACATGCATTGCTTTTTCCAGCATTATTGAGGTATAATTCACAGATAAAACTGAAAGATACTTAAAGTATACATATCTATACACTGTGAAAGGATTCCTCCCATCTATACAATAATTCATTAACACATCCATCACCTCACATGTGTCTATATATGAGAACATGTAAGTTCTCGCTCGGAAAATTTCAATTATATAATAAGTGTTATCAACTGTAGTCACCACATTGTACCTTAGGTCCTCAGACCTTATTCATCTTATCGCTGAAAGTTTGTACCTTTTTACCGACCTCTCCCTATTTCCTCCACCCTCTGGCAAGCACTTTCCTATTCTGTTTCTATGAGTTTGATTTTTTTTTTGATTCCTTATATAAGTCATACCATGCAGTATTAGTTTTATCTGTCTGGTTTAGTTCATTTAACATAATGCCCTCAAGGTCTATCCAGTTGTCACAAAACATGCATTGCTTTTATAACAAACAAAATCACTAATAAAAAACGACCCCCTTAATTTCAGTAAGAAATTACTGAAGATGGAAATGCGCCCTTTAAAGGATTCAAATTTCATGCCTTACTCAAAAAAGGACCAACGTGGCATGCTAACTTATGCTGATATAGAATAGTTGAGTTGCTTTTCTTTATTTCTAAAGTATTGGAATGTGGCAAAAACTCATTCATGCTAAAACAGTACATGGAGGCAAACATACCTTCTGGTCACCAGACACTATGATAGCTCCATTGTAGGAAGGATCATCTGAACCATTTCTGTTTCTAAAGTCATCTATTTCCAAAGCTATATCCTGACGCTTCAATGAGTGTACAAGGTCTTCAATATTTGATCCTAATGTAGTCAATGAAAGAAGGCAGCAAAAAAGAAACAAAAATCAACATCAAAGCTTTAAAATACGAGTGATTTCCTCTCATGTTAAGCAATACACAGAATAACATGATAAAGACCCTCACTCTCAAAGAATATAATGAAATTCATGCTGATGCTGGGACGTCAGACTCCAATCTACCATCTTCAGTGTAAGGGACTCTTTTCAGAAAATGTTCAATTTATCTTGTAAATCTTCTAAAGTAAACAGAGTTCATGCCTGAGAGTTAGATTCGCAATTGTCACAGAAATAAAACTTTAATAAGTGACTTTTATAAACTTTTCCCAAACACGGTAATGTTTGTAATTATAAATAGTATGCACAAAATACATACCTCATGACCCAGGCTTGTTCTAGTGAAACAAATCAGTCCTACTCATCATGTAACCTGCTAACTCTCACTGCCTTGCAATGATGTTTACAGTACTAGCGACCCATGCAAAATGCCTTTATGAAATTAAGTAAACTTGATGTTTTCCATTATGTCCATTATTTTTCAATTTAAATATGAGCCTATCAGTTTCCTTAATTTGAAAATAAGGACAGCTGGACACACACAACTTTTTCTCCATTTCCCCTCAAGTTGTTTTGAATACAGGTCTTTTCGTCTCTCAGGTTTGTGCTTTCTAAAGGTCTTTGAGGATAAAAAATAAGACTAAATGTCAGGCCTATTTCTCACCTGTATTATTGATGATCAACAGCCTGCTAAGAGGAGCTTCTGGGGGTTGTTTCAGAGAAAGGAAATACATACTGGATGAAAGCTCCCAATGATGAGTTTGCTGAAATATCATATACATTATATACTGACAAATAGTGGGAATACAAGCAATTCCAAGTACCAGTAACCTAAATAAAAGAAAATTAAAATGTGAGTCTAAAATATGTTCATTCTGATTATGTAAGTCAAAAGCATGCCCTATAAATGGCAACCTATGGAGATTCAACACACGACACATGATTCCATAAAATGAAACTGAACGTGAGACTAATCTGAAAATGGGCTCAAAATTCATATCATAGTGCAAAGTGTCAGAGAGTAACGGAACATGATGAGAGAAGGTAAGCTCCGGGGGGTTCCTCTGGGAGCTTGCTGGTTACGAAGGACAACGTGGGCAGAGGCTTTATGACATACCAGGAGCCTCAAACAGCCTGCCTAGGAATTTTAAAGGGAAAGAAGCCCTATCAACCTGTCACGCTTGCAATTACACAATTTCAAGTAAAATTTTAACTATCATCAGCTGTTAAAATACATGTATTTTAATTTTCATGAAGCTAGATGCAATACATAATACACGACTTCCAGATGCTGGAGCTCATTGCACTGACTCCAACGACAAGTAAAAACACTTCCAAGCAATCTTTCTGTTTCTCTAATGAGTTTGTGAATCCACTCCTTGCAATGAGTACTTTCTCATCAGGCCTCAGGCTCTGCCTCCTTCTCCCTCACTCTCAGCCTTACATTTCATAGGGGGAAAAAAAAATACAATCATCAGACAGAAACTCCCCCTGGCGTTACTACCACCAAAAGAAAAGAAAAAATATCCACAGATGCAACCCTCCTCTGATTCTTTCCTTCCATTGTAATCGATGACGTCTTTGCTCCTATCAAAGGCTGGTCCTTCTCAAGACTGCTCTGGATCCAGTCCCTTGTCACCCTCCCTGACACCTTGCTCAGTTAGCTCAACTTCCATTATTTTCACTCTACTGTCTTATCCCCATCATCACTGAAACATGTTCTAACACCTCCCATTCACTGAAAATAAACGAAATTTCCTCCTGACTTCAATCTCCCTTCAGGTGCTCTTCTATCTTTCTACTTCCCTCCATGGGCAAGCACCTCAAAACAGTTGTCTACTTTTGGACCTTCTCTTTCTAAAACCTTAATGATTTCCTTTTTGGCAAGTAGAAAGATTTGGCAAAACAATAGATGATTTCTTCTCTGAACTGTTATTCTCCCCTACTACTTTTTCATCCCTTCACGTTTTCTAATCTTGGCTCAAAGGTGACCATTTCAGTGAGGCCAGCATCAATCACCCTGTTCAGAACTGTAACGAATTCCCAACTCCCACAAGCTCCCTCCACCCCCTAACTCTACACTATTTTGTATAACCGACTATATAATTTAGTTCTTATGTATTTCTTATTTTTTATCTTTTCCCCCTAACCAGAAGGTAAATACCACAGGGGCACGGATCTGTGACTTTTTTATGCTCGCTAACATAACCAACGTACCTAGAACAATGCCTAGCACATAACAGGTTTTCAATCAAGATTTGGGATATCGATTAACATCTAATGGGCAATTATTTAATTGGTATTTTTCTCCCCTACAGACAGTAAACCTAAAGGCCTTGCCAGTTGTGTTTGCTACTGTAGGACAGTACTATAAGCACTCAAAAAATTACTGAATGAATGAAGAAATTAATACTTATGTTTTTCATATTTGAATCTTTTCGCATATATTGACTAAAGAGATTTATAGTAGTCTGATACTTACATGGACAAAAGAACATTCCTCTCGCGCTTTAACTTTAAGAAGCGAAGCCTTGCCATTGCACAGACCTGCCGTCTCCAGAGAGTTCCATTACTGACCACCATTCTCAATCCAGGAAGAGAACAAAGAGCCTGCTGCATTTCGGACTCAATTCCAGTATCTCTTATCTCATCCATTTCCTCCTGTTTCTGTATGCCCAAATCTGTAACCACGTAACAAGCCATTATAATAAGCTATGTTATTTACTTTCTCTTTAGAAATTTTGAAAATTATGTTAGAATATTTAAAACAACACTTCTAACAAGTTAAGCTATATCTATAAGTCTTATATTCAAAATCTTTCCTTCAAATGTAATGAATCCAAGTTTAATGAGTAAATTGATTTTTGAGCATGGTTTAGGCCTCTTGGAAAACATTTACTCTTTCATACCAATGGCAGCAGCTCTTCACCAAGGGGTTTTTGCAGCGTGAGTTTTATGCGAAAGCACAAGGATTAATTTATGTAGTTGAGTTTCTAAGAGCTGAGTGTCTCTGTCATCTGGAATCTCCTCCATGGAATTGGTTCATCACTGATGACTGACATTTCAAGGCACTGTGGTGTTTAAGTGACAGAAAGTCCATGGAAGACCTCCTGTTCGAATCCCACATACACCACACGTTAGCTGCATGGTTTGGCTAGTCGCTCAACTTCTCTCAATCTCAGTTTTCTCGCCTGCATCATGAAGTTATTATCAAGAACAATATAATCCATCAGCTGAGTACAATGGCTGGCACATAGTAGGATCCTAAATTCTCCTTCACATTATTACAAAGTAAACTAAGGGGAGACACCATCTTATTAAACATCTATTATTAATACATTAACTAGAATTAGTTCATTAGCTAAGTAAGAGTACATTTTTATACGGGAATGGAAATTAAGAGACAAAGCCAGAATTCATGGCAAATTCACAGAGAGCTACTGATGACAAGGGAGAAGTGGGCATTGCAAAGGGACGTGACCGTTACTAACATGAGAGGCCGTCATAAAGTAATTTCCCTAGCATTAAGCCTGATTATGTAGATATAAATAATTATGATACTTTTAAAAGTGGACAATCTTATTGTATATGTAATATCCATTCTAGCCATAACTCCACATAAAAATCTACAAATATGAATTAATACTTGGTCATTTTCTTTTTCCTTTTTCTTAATTTTCTGTTAGACACACATTTTTATACCTGGTCCATGAATTGCTGATTTGCCTTCTAGATTCAAAAATACTTCATTCAGAGTTGTCATGGAAACACCATAATTCATTATGCCTTGGTCAGAACATTTATCAAGGTCACTGTAGAGATCTAAAAAGCAGATAGTAATAAAGTGATGCAACTAAAATTGGTAATGAATACACTAAAATACTAATGCCTAGAAAT